CCTCCCATTCTACTTTTAAATACTCTAGGAACAACAAGTAGGCCTGCATTAGATCAACTCCAGGCCTCGAGGGCCGGCGTCCTGCAGGGTTTAGATGTGTCAGCTGATTCAAACGGCTAAATGACCTCCTCAACATGTCCTGACGTTCTCCAGAGGCCTGGTGATGTGTGTGTGTTGACTCAGGGTGAGATCTAAACCCTGCAGGAGTTGGACACCCCTGCTGCAGATACTTGCATTAACAGGTGTACATAATAAATCTGTTGAGTGTATAAAGAAGAACAAAAGCACAAAACGATGAAAATGGTTCGTTTCAGTCAGTTCAGCTCTGGAGGAAAGTTCATGGATCCAGTGACATGTTGGTGGGCCAGCGGAGGATACTGGGACTCATACTGGGACAGTGAGCGCTCATGATGTGCTGTGGGGAGCCTCAGTGACAGCAGAGTTAGGAGTGACTGTAGTTCAGGAGGAAGAACAGGTCGTTACTAATTGGAAGGTTGGGGGTTTGATTCCAGTCTGCATGCCTTATCCTTGGGCAAGATACTAATGTGTGAATGTTAGAAAAGCTGGAGGGAGGGGTTCGAGTCGATGGGCTGTTCTCCGATTGCCTTTCTTGTAAACGTCGTAGAACAGCAGTGTGTCGCACATCGCCGACCAGTGACCACGACTCGTATCCGTGTCCATGAAAATGATTCTCTTCCCTCCTCTGCACGTCCACGTCACTCTTCCCTTCATAAACCTCTGAGATCTTCCCCTTTTCCTCCCAGTACCTCCACAATACATATCTTCTTATCCACCTTACCTCCTGTCACATGTCAGAACCACCTCAGTCGAACTTTGTCTCCTGCCTGCCCAGCCTGTTTCCAAACTGTCGCTAACACTGACTGAAGACAAACCGCCGCCTTCAGTAGTGACAGCAGTTGAGAGGAGCTCATTACCTCCGGACGTGTGGTGCCACAGAGCAGGAAGTCGAGTCCTGCCCCTGAGAGGTACAGATAGCTGACAACTGAGGGAAACTGCTGATTGTTCCTGGGTGGTGAAATTCAAAAACTGCATGGCTGCAGCACCGATGACTCTTCTGGACAAACTTGTCCCGGACATCAAGTTGTTCAACGATGAATCAGCTGCAAAAGTGAAGCCGTTGCTCTGTTTCAGAGACTTTGAGCGAGGCCTTCATTTCATCTCTCCTCGACTTTTGTCTTTACTCTGGTGTCTGTCATCAGCTGGTCCAAAACGCTGCAGCACAGTTACTGACTGGCCACGTATCTCCTGCACCAGCATCCTCACACTGGCTGCCAGTTAGATTTTGTTTTTCATTTTTAAGGCGCTGCACGGGTCAGCAACCTCATACCTTTCTGATGTTTTGATCAGTACACTCCTGAGGTCACTGAGGTCTGCAGATCAAATGCTCCTGCTGTCCCGAGGTCCAGATTAAAGCACAGAGGAGCCTTTGCCGTGACCTCAGGACCTTCCCAACATTGGACACTTTCACAGCCCGTCTGAAAACCCACTTTTATTTTTCAGCTTTTAAATCAGAATGAGTTTGTTCTACTTTCATTTGCCTTGTTTCTTACTCAAATCTTCTCATTTTATGCTTCTTTTCTTAAGTTTTGTCACGTCTTCCTTTGTTTTTATCTCGTTTGATTATCTTAAATGTACAGACGTTGTTGTTTTAAATGTGCTGTATGAATAAATTTGACTTTGACTGATAATAACTCATAATTAACTGCAGAGTGATGTACAAACACAAAGTGAGTGAAGAAGAAACACTTGTGGGAATCCCCCAGCAGCCTCGACCCACTGAAGCAAAGCTAAGGGAGGATTCAGGGTCCGCTGACCCAGCCTGACTGTGAGCTTTAACCTGATCTTTAAACTAGAGAAGTCTTTGTGTTTATCGGAGCCAAACTACGAGCTGGTTTCACAGACGAGGCCCTGAAAGCTGAAGGCTCCGCCTCCCGTTCTACTTTTGAACAAACCACCGGTAAGTCTGCGACATGCTTCCAGTTTCGTTCTGGCGGCAGACTGTTTCTCACATCTGTACTCACATCTGTCCACAGCGACATCTGCGACAGCTGCTCACGCTCGATCATCTGTCTGGACCAGGAGGTAAGACCGGAAGTAACAAAGAGCTGCAAAGAGCAAAATCTAAATTTGCATGTAAGATTTTGAATGTTTTGTTTGTTTTTTCTTTATTGCAAAACAAAAAAACAAACAAAACAACAACAAAAACCAGAGAACTGTAAGAAAGTTTAGTTAGTGTAAGTTAATCTAACGGAGACATCGTTTCGATAATAAAAAGCCACATAAATCTGTTAAATCACATTTGGTGCAGTTAGTGAGCTGGGTGTGGTTCACTCTCGTCAGGAAATCAGACGTTTTGGTGCTGTGGTTGTGCCACGTGACGCCACTGTGGTGTTCGCCTTGTTTCTTTGTTTCTTTTTTCAGTCTTTCTTTAAATCGATCATCTTCTGACCATTCCGATTTGTTTGTTTAACAAACTAAAGCAAAATGTATTTTCACATATTTGAACTTTTGGAATCAATATCACAGAAACGACTGAGCGATGTTTTTGGTTTTTCAGCTCCGGTGTGGCGCCAAAAACTGATTTCCAAGGTCTCCGTGTGTTTTTATGTGTAACATCTTTATGTATGTTGGTCAATGAGCAGAGTTTACAAAGGGTTATATATAAAATTTAAAAAAATTACCTGTTTTTCAAGTTTCTTTATGTTATTGTACCTACATTATAACCAATGCGGTCCTTTTTGTCCACTTAAAGTATGTTTATGACCGTTGTAATATTTGTGTTTCTGCTGTCCCCGTGGCCAGATGACCTTTTTTAAAAAGACATTTTTAATGTCAACGAGGTTTTTTCTTTTACTGGATAAATAAAGGAAATATTAAAGTCACGGCCAAAAACTTCTACCTTGTTACAGGAATGTTACCAACAAGTTATTTATAGCAGTTTAAATACAAGCAGTCAGTTTTTGGCACAACGCGGCAAAATAAACTTTAGTCTGACTTTGATCGAAAGAACCGATCAGACTTCGACACACGTGCTGTAACTATGCGTTATTTTTGTGCATCTATTCCGAGCGCACGTTTAAAAAATGCAAGCGCAAATGTTGCATTTTGAGAAGAAATTTATTTTTGCGCGAAGAAAAGTTTAATTTGAGCGAACAAAATTAATTCCTGCGTGAGAGAAAAGTATTTCACTGTTTGCTATCATCTACATCCACGCACAATAACAGCCGCTCCCGCTCAGATCTCTGTGTGCTCACAGACATCTGCAGACCTGCTCTCAGCGCGTCTCAGCTCTTAGAAGTGTGCCACAAAACCAACCAATCACAGACTTGGATGCAATAATTCTGATTGGCTGTTACGGTCTCCAATCAGCTCGCTAGCTACTGCATTCCGGAAGCACGGTCCAGAATGTAGCTAAAGCCAGTGGAGTGGTTTAAACTAGATTAAAAACCAATAACAGTCTCAAAAAATATAAATTTAAAATAAAATAATGAAACATACTAACCGAAAATGGATTCTTGAAGTGTGAAATTATCAAACAATTTTGATGATAAAGAAAAAATGCAGATAATTAAAAGTCTTTCTGAATTTGATTCAGTGAACCACACTGAGACCTAAGAAGAGGCAAATGAATTGTTGTGGTGCTATTTAAAAGCAATGAGGCAAAGAAACGGCACTTCTTTGTTTTTAATTATGGAAATATGACTCGATGCAGTAACTGTGGGTGTGTTTTCATTGACTCCACAGATTAAACTGACTCAGCTCAGAAGATCATTTCCCATCATGAATGCCAAGCTAACCAAAAGCAGGCAGAGCGCCATCTGCTCTGATCTGGGGAGAGTCAGGCTGCAGCTGCTGTACAAGGCCAGCGTCCACGGCTTCACCGGTGCAGCGTTTCACCAACAATGTGACCACCGCTCTCCCACTGTGTCCGTGGGCTACAACGACTCTGGCTTTGTGTTTGGAGGCTACACCAAACAGCCCTTTAATCAGTCTGGAGGGTTTGTGAATGATGATAAAGCCTTTCTTTTTACCTTCACTGGAGAGCAGCTGCTCAAGTATCCCGTCACTGGTCCTGGGAATGCAGTGAAAATGATCGGAAACTCTGGACCTTATTTTGGAGAAGCACTGGTTCTTGTCCATGGAAGCACACCAGTAGCGTACAGCAGTCCAGGAAATTATTACAACTTCACTGCTGCAGAAATGCATGGCGATGATCTCGACCTGACGGAGTGTGAAGTCTACCAAGTGGAGGGTAGGTCCACTAGTATGGTTACCGGCTGTCTGCATAATTTATCCCAAACATAAAATAACTTTTAGTTATAGTAATAATAATAATAATGATAATAATAATGATAATAATAATAATGATAATAATGATGATGATAATAATAATGATAATAATGATGATGATGATGATAATAATGATAATAATAATGATAATGATGATGATGATGAT